CCTAAGTGATTAACAGCAACAACAAACTTGCGGTGTAATTCCTCTGACCAAACAACTCTTTCTTTCTTAGAATTATTGTCATGATCATTAGTATTCTTAATCATGTTGCAAAGGTTGAAAGAGAGAAAATGAAATAACAAGAAGTGGGTTGATGAGTTATGAGAGTGTTGAATAAGAGAGTGTTAAGAAGTGAACTATATATATAGAGATGATTTAGTAACTAAGACAGACACTCCTACTTTCTTGGAATAGAGAAGAGGTAAATCTTGAAGATTTGTGTTCACATGTTCAATGTAAGAAAAAAAATATCTTTTTAAATCACATTGATTTTTTTTTTATAGTTGCATTAATTGATTTCCCTACTTTTATTTATACTTAACCCAAATATTTAAGTTAGTTTACAAAATATATTTTTTCCCAACAATTAATGGATCATAAATTCATTATAATTATTACAACTTTCTCTCCAAATAAAAATCTGTCCTTTTTATTATCCTCACTTTAGTGAGTTCAAATTATATATAAATCTGTCGTTTTTATTACTTCTCTATAGATTAAAAGAAGTAGAGAACAAGTTACTTCATTAACATTAACGATAAAAAATCTAAGATATCATAATTTTTTGTTAAGAATCAAGTGATTACTACTTTGAATAAGAATGATGTTAAATTATAGAAATGCATTAAACAAAATGAAGATCAAATTAAAAAGGCATAAGAAGATGAACTTGGGAGAGAACAGGAATCGGTTGAGGTGATTGGAAATACCTTTTGCGCTTTCAAAGCTGCGTTTAGAGATTGAAAATTAGGGTTTGGAGAAGAGAGGGTTTATTTGAAGAAGAGACAGCAGAGTATGATTGGAAGAGAGAAAGTTCCTTTTTAATGAAAAAATGATGGTCATGTAGTTTTTTGTTTTCAAATTGATAATGGACGTTGAAAACCTCCGTAAATTAAATAAAGATGCTCCAACTTTCTTGGAATAGATAAGAGATTTATTGTTGAAGATTTGTGTTCACATGCTCAATGTCAGAAAAAATATATCTTTTTACAATCACATTGATTCTATTTTTTTTATAGTTGTATTAATTGATTTCCCTACTTTTATTTATACTTAACCCATATATTTAAGTTTAAGTTTAAGTTTACAAAATATATTTGTTTCCAACAATTAATGAATCATAAATTCATTATAATTATTACAACTGTCCCTCCGAATAAAAATTTGTCTTTTTTATTATCCTCTCTCTAGTCAGTACAAATTATATATAAATCATATATTCCTCAAATTAATAAATTTTGTTTTTAAATTATTTTGGACAAGTATTAATGAATATAAAATAAAGTTTCTAACCTGAATCGGCTTGTTCTCATTCTTGATGTAGAACAACAACAGACATGAAAGAAAGAGATGAAGGAGCAACAACGAATGACTTTTGTCTACACATATCTTAACGTTAGGATTTCATGTCTACCCTTAGGTTGGGCTGAGTTTCTTACAGACTCGAGATTTTGGGAACAGAAGCCCAATATTCATATTTCATTTTTTCATTTTTATCATAACAGCTTATGCGCAATTGAAAAATATTGGGAATTAGGGGTTTAAGTTGAAATTGGTCACAATGAATATCATTTTTTGAAAAAAATTGGGAATTAGGGTTGTTAAATTAATAATAAATAACAGAAAAATTGCTGCAATCAGACTCGCAATAGTAGAAATGTAACAATACATATCACTTTTTAAGTGCTGTTAAATCTAATCTTAAATTCAACTACATTTAACATACGAAATCTGTATTGAGTATCAATTATAAGCAACATTTTGCAATTCTAGTACAGTGAAACTTCTACTTACTATTTTAATGATACTAGTACCAATATTAGATATTTGTAATAACATCATAATGAAGTATGGTAATTTCACTCGGCCCTTAAGACAATTCATTCTCGATTCTGTGATAATTTATGTGAAAGATTTTCATTTACTTTTCTTACAAGAAAATTTTATTTTCCTATAATGTATCCTAATTCTCGACTTAATTCTTATTTCAACCATTGATTCTACTTTTGATCAAAAATATATATTTTGGTTCTATTTTATCTCCTCGATGAGTTTAGTGAAGAGCTAACCACCCAATTGTTCTGGAAAGAATATGCTGCTTTTGAGGAAAATTTTAAAGCAAAAATATCAAAAGATAACTTTGAATTTTTAATTTTACTATACATTTCTCTATTGGTTGATGAATATATTAAATGTATTGAAATAGCTATTATAGAATTTCTATTAAATTGGTACTAAAACTACTCGGGGAATATTTTTATACGATTATATTAATGCTTAATAACAATCTTTGTAGCTCTATAATGTTTTAGTTTCCTATCTATTATTTGGATATACATAGAAAAATGTATATTTTAACAAGGCATATTTATTTATCGGTGGGACAAACCTTTTTATTCTACTTTATAGTTTTTTTGGCTATATGATTCATATGGAGAAGAGATTAATCTTCAATAAATAATGAATAGTCTTATAAATTAAAATGTATAATTCCCAAGGAATTTCACTAGTAGAGAAATGTGTAAAACAGAGAATGTGTTGTAGTTTTTCATATTTTAATAACTTTGGTTTACAAAAGTAATACCATTGTTTTGTAAAAAGCCTGTAACCAGTGTTGGTTGAGTTCATTATTTGTAATTGGGTGACTACTTCTTATACTCGATCAATATACTTTCTCATAAAAAAAAAGCTACTATCATAAAATGTAAGTAATTTTGGAGTTTAGAATAAAGTTGTAAAATTTCAAAATCTTTGAATTTTGTATAAATAACCCAGTTAATTGTTTGTATGTATAACTGAACTTTATATTCAAACTTGAAACAAAGAAATGATTAGAAGAAATAAATAAAATATGATTGATATTATCAATGGTATTCTCATTTTTTTCCTTATAAAACTATTTATACGTATTTTATATAGAGATGATTTAGTCAATGTTTTAAAAACCATGCTGTACCAGCCGGTTCAACCGGAAAACCGGACCCCTAACCGGTACGGTACGTATGTTATACCACATATGCAATAGAACCGGTCAAAACCGGTGAAAATTGGTAAACCGGTCGGTTTGTACATTAATTTTATTTTTTTAAATTTCAAATTTTCAATTCTTCACCAATTCTTCAACTTCAATGATTGATACTTTGGTCATTTATTTGTATTTTGCGTTTGTTAAGTGATAATTTTGGATAAATATATGTTTTGTACTTTAGACTTTGATTTTATTAAAGACTTAATGTTGTTTGTTTGTGTGAATTTGAAGTAAATTATGAATATGGATTATAAATATGAATATCTACTTATTTGAAATTTTTTGTTATAGGTTTATATATATATATATATAAGCAAGTATGTCCGGTTTAACCGGCACGCGATTTAATTACTGAACCACTGGTTGAACCACTATACCAGTACCCTAACCGGTTTGATAACCGGTACGGTTTGATAACCAGTACGGTTTGATAACCGGTACGGTTTGATAACCGGTACGGTTTGATAACCGGTACGGTTTTAATAACATTAGATTTAGTAACTAAGACGCTCCTACTCTCTTCTAATAGATAAGAGGTAAGTAAATCTTGAAGATTTATGTTCACATGCTCAATGTAAAAAATATATATATCTTTTTACAATCACATTTATTCTATTTTTTATTGTTGCATTAATTGATTTCCCTACTTTTATTTACACTTAATCCAAATATTTAAGTTTACAAAATATATTTGTTTCCAACAATTATTGAATCATAAATTCATTATAATTATTACAACTGTCTCTGATAATAAAAATGTTTCTAGTCGGTACAAATTATATATAAATCATATATTCCTCAAATTAATAAAATTTGTTGTTAAATTATTTGTGAGAAGTATTAATGAGTAGAAAGTGGAGTTTCTAACCTAAATCAGCTTGTTCTCATTATTGTTGTAGAACAACAAACACGAACATGAAAGAAAGAGATGAAAGAACAACACCAAATGACTTTTGTCGACACATATCTCAACGTTTTCATGTCTACCTTTGGGTTGGGTTGGGTTTGTTACATACTCCACATTTTGGGAACATGAGCTCAATATTCATATCTCATATTTCATTTTTATTATAAACAGATGGTGGAAGATTGGGATTGAAAAATTGGGAATTAGGGTTCCTAGGTATTAGGTACTATTGCTCCACTTTTGAGATAAGATGAGATGAATGAAAAAATAGATTTTTATTTTTTATGTTCAGACTATAACTTATCAAAATATTCTTGTTTCAAGAAATTAGTGTTTTAAATTGCAAGTATCATTGAGCATCAACGAGTTACAACCAATAAAATTGTGTTACAAAGCTGTTATCAATAGGGAATGCTATGTAGTTTTGGTTCGAAAATTAATTGGTTGATTTCATTGATTTGAAGGTATCGATTTGGTTGAATAATAAAATAAGTTTTTATTGAAACATTTTTTATATGAAATTAATAGTTTAGAGATGACATTGTTCCCATTTTCAGAGAAATTAGAGACAACACGGATCATAATATTACTATAAAAATTCCATTAAAATTATTTTTATTTTTTATTAAAACTAACTTTGTAGTACTCCAAATAAAAATATAATCATATTAACTAATTCATAAAATAATGATGGAACAAATAAATATACATAAATAAATAATACAATATAAAAATATTAATTAATAAATAAATTAAATGAGATTAGAGTAAAAGGGGTAACGTGAAGTTTGCCCTGAGAACCTGTTGAACGTGAAAAAATGAAGGGGGAGAGGGGAAGTGAAATCCCTAAATCCCCAATCCTTTATCTCCGTCGTCTCTGGCAACGGCGGTGGGTTCTCGCCGACGAGAGGTGGTGATGGTGCTCTATGGCGACCTCTTATCCTTCTCCAATTATGTTATGTGACTCTTGATGATGATATGCGGTGATGATATGCTCAACAAGAACCACCCATTGTAATGGTAGTTCGAAAGGTATGTTACCACCTCTTTTCGTTTACCCTCCTTTATTTTGACATCTCTATGTATTCTGATTTGTCATGTGGTATGTGTATGATGTATGTCTTGTAGGTATGTTCTTCTTTGGTTGTCGTAGATGTGGTATCGATGAATGCGTCTATTTTGTGTTGTTTTTGATTGCTTGTTTGATATTAGAGTATGTATATTGATATGTGGTTGTGGGTTTATGTGTATGTGTGATATTTGTTTGTGGTGTGGGCATATGGACCGGGATTTTGTTACTATGATATGGTGTTTCTTTGGGTTGTTCTGTGTTTTTTCTGATTCGCGATATATGGGTGATGGCTATTTGAGGAAGATAAGGGTTCTTTTGAAGCTCTGGTTATTTTTAGAATACCAATGTGTGTGTGTCTATTGGTTGCCTATCTTTTGAGTTAGGGACGAGTATATGTGATATGTATATCTGTGTTAGCCCCCTTGTTCATATCATTGTGATATCTTTTATAAGAGTTGAAAAACCGGTTGTATGCCCTTTTGATTCCTGATTTAATACACACCTGCAAGCTCATATTATTGCCAATAATGTTTGCAATTACAGTTAGTGTAACTGAAGTCTTTTCAGTGTTGTATTCCAGACTTTCTTGCATGGTTTTAGTACCATCCTACTGTTTTGGATTATTCTCACCTTTTCATTACCTGGAATATGTATTTTGATTGTTTATCCTCTGTTGTAACTGAAGTTAGTCACATATGGCTTTTGATTGTTTGCTTATGGGTGCGTAACTTGCTGAGACCTTCTGCTTCTTTTTGTTTATCCTCTTTAATGCCCATCACTGCTGCCTAATCATTCCTGCCACTCGTTTTGATTATGACTGAGAGGTGACATATTTTTATATCCCATTATTGATTGATGGTCCACAATCGTTTCTATTCTTTTTCATTTACCATCATTTCATTAATTCTTTACTGCCTCAAATTGCAACTGCTAGCACAAGGAGGGTATCTGTAGCTGATTTTTTTTACTTGTCTCTTGCACTACCAATTTTCATTTTCTTCTTGACCTTCATGTTATATTGAGCATGCTAGTGTTAGAACCAATCTATATCTTGCTTGAGATGCCACCCAAGCACTTAGTAATTGACATTAGAGTTCATAATACTGTCACACCAACTAAAAGAATCTCCAATTGTACACTTCTCGTCAGTTTCAACAGGTTACGGATCAACCTGAGGAAAATTATTGACCCACGTACAGCATGTGTTCCCTTATAACTACACATCCATCTTATGCTTAACCTGGACATTGTTATTGTTGTTGTTTGTTGTTGATGATGTAGTTTGACTTAATCCAGGTGTCCCCTTTTTCTAGGCTGTTCATAGACTTGCTCATAAGTCGATGATTAGAACCACAACCTGCTTCTTCATGACCAAAAGGCTATACAAATTTTTCTGAGTAACGGTATCGGATCAGACCCAGCTCTTCACACATAGTTCCTTCAAAAAATTAAAGCACAGTGCTCCCATAATGGAGAAGTCAAATTCAGGATTGCATTGATGAAGGTGTCTCGATAATTTTGACAAGCACATTTTTGAACACTATACAACAAGGTCTTGCCATGCTAGAATCTGATACTAGACTTAATGATGACCTTGTCACCAAGTTTATCATTGACTCTTATTTTAATAATCCAATATTTAGGCTTTCTTTTATTTTTGTTGTTGAAATTGTTGTAAAGATGGGCCAAATTGGAGTCAAAACAAGTTTCCATGGGGAGATGAGGCACAAGTGCTCAAAGTTCAATTAGAACGCTTGATCTCTTTGTTATCCTTGTAACAACACCAATTAAAAATTGCAAACGTCTCTTTCTATTTCAGATTCCTATAGATGAAACTTTCTAACAACTTTTGAAATCAACAACTAAAAACAGAATAGTTAGTAATTACTAACGGTTGATATAAAATTGGTTTCAAAACATTTAACAAAAAAATGTATTTTTTTGTGATTTTTGTTGTTTTGGAATCTTTTTGTATTTTTTGTTTATGATATGTAAACAGGCCGGACAAAATTAGGTGTTCACAATGGTCAAAATTGTTATAACAAGGTTTTGGAACTTGTTAACCAAAACATGTATCCTCAAGAACCAAAAGACAACAATGTAAACCAAGAAAATAAACATACATGTTATTCTTGAATCAGTTGTATACAAAAAAAAATGAAGACATTTGTTATGCATTGATGTGAATAGAGAATGAAGAAGAAAACATATTGTCAATTCCTCCTAAGTGATTAACAGCAACAACAAACTTGAGGTGTAAGTCCTCTGACCAAACAACTCTTTCTTTCTTAGAATTATTGTCATGATTATTAGTATTTTTGCTCATGTTGCAAAGGTTGAAAGCAATGTTGTTGTGACCGGACCGGACCGGCCGGTCCAACCGGTCCAATCGTCACCCGCTTGAGTAAACGGTCCTGTACAAGTAGAAAACCGGAATTGGTTTCCAGCCGTTTTGGGCCGTGGAAAATCCGGTCCAACCGGGTTAGACCGGGTAAAACTGGAATAACCCGGTTGGTTAAACCGGCCGGGTTGGTAAAATTAAAAAAAAAACAAAAGTAATGAAAAAGAAGAAAACAGGGTTTTCAATTCCCTACCCCACGAAAATTTAAAATAAACAAAAGCAATTAGGTTAGTTTCAGTTCCCCCAAGAAGAAAACAGGGTTGCTCACCATCATCTTGCCTTCATCGTCATATCTTTCTCGCCATCTTACTCTCTCTCAATTAGATTTGATTAATATTGTTGATGATGTTGTTACTAGTGACCATTATTTTGTTGTTTCTCTTTTTGATTAGTAGAAATTTGAGGCTATGAGATATGATGCTCTTGTTCTGCTGGATCATTTATAGTTGTTGATTTCTCATTTTATTGCTCATCTTTTCCCTAATGCCAATATCGCTTTCGTGAGACTGGATTTAGTGCAACTTTGAAAGTTTTAGTTTTTAATGAAATTGATTAGCTTTCCATCATACTCTGGTAATAGATATTTTTTTCAACTAGGAGGCAATTAAATTGATGTAATCGATTACCAAACATGGTGTAATCGATTACAATATAAAAAATGCACATATCTGATGCTTTTAATATGTTGTAATCGATTACGAGTATATTGTAATCGATTACATCATGTAAAATGCACAGGTCTGATTAGTTTATCAGCATGTAATCGATTACCAGGATTGTGTATTAGCATGAAGGACAAAATATTACTATTGATGGAGGGCTTAATTTAGACTCTTTTCCACAAGAAGATGTAGATAGTTACACTCAAAGTACATCTTTAACGAACAATGTAAACTTAGGATCTAACCAAGACAATGATACATGGATGAATTAGAATGTTTACTCTCTAAATGAGATGTGTTTTGATTTATTGCTCTAATTATGTAAGACTTAAACTTTGATGCACTTTTATTTTGATTTATGTGCAAGCTTTGTGCAAAGTTATTCACTTATTTTAATTAATTATATAATATATGTATATATATATATATAATTATATATGATATTATATTGTCGTTCGGCCCGACCGGACGGCCTAACCGGTTAAACCGGTTAGAACCTATACAAGACCTCCTCCGGTTTGACGTCCGACTCGGGTTTCACAACATTGGTTGAAAGCAATGTTTTAAAAACCGTGCCGTACCGGCCGGTTCAACCGGAAAACCGGTGAACCGGACCCCTAACCGGTACGATACGTATGTTATACCACATATGCAATAGAACCGGTCAAAACCGGTCGGTTTGTACATTAATTTTATTTTTTTAAATTTCAAATTTTCAATTCTTCACCAATTCTTCAACTTCAATGATTGATACTTGGGTCATTTATTTGTATTTTGCGTTTGTTAAATGATAATTTTGGATTAATATATGTTTTGCACTTTAAACTTTGATTTTATTAAAAACTTAATGTTGTTTGTTTCTGTGAATTTGAAATAAATTATGAATATGAATTATAAATATGATATCTACTTATTTGATTTTTTTTATAGGTTTACATATATATATATAAACAAGTATGTCCGGTTTAACTGGCATGCGATTTAATTACTGAACCACTGTACCACTATAGCAGTACCCTGACCGGTTTGATAACCGGTACGGTTTTAATAACATTGATTGAAAGAGAGAAAATGAAATAACAAAATTTTGATTAGTGCATTATAGTCGTTATACGAATTACGACATTAATTGCCTCACCCATATCAAGCTCACACCTAATTGTCTAACATGTTGTTTTCACACCATATGCATGTCCTTCTTCATACCATTTGGATTTTATTCTTCATTAAATATGTTTCACACAACAATCATTTGGTTGAATAGAATAAATTTAAAGAAGCACAGTGGGATGATACACACACCTTATACAACAACAAAGGATTATGCACAAGTCTACTAAAAGAGAAAATGAATTTTAAACAAAGGAAAAACTACTATGCATCTTCATCACTTGTTTTCAATTAGAGACCACATAACTTTAAAGCCACATTATACCACAATCACAATGATGCAAACCATATTTGAACTACGTTAGTTCAGGTTGTTTCAAATTAAAAAAAATTAATAACAAAAAATTCAATGCCGCAATTCGTATAATGACTATAATCACACTAATCAAAATCTTCTGGCCACAACCTCATCAATTGATTCTATTTTCTCATTCATTGAATTTTATTAAAAAAGGGCATGTGTTCTTGATTGGACTAGAACACAAAAAACAGAAACACATGAAGTGAATACATTGTGTTCGAAGATACGGTGCGGACATTAGTTTCTGTTGTTTCATCTATCTTACAGATGAATAAATATTTTAATTATATTTCTACAAAAAGCCTCAAGTTTCTTTAAAATGAAAATTAAGTATGGTCAAAATTGTTATAACAAGGTTTTGGAACCTGTTAACCAAAACATTGCATCCTCAAGAACCAAAAGACAACAATGTAAACCAAGAAAATGAACATACATGTCATTCTTGAATCTGTTGTATACACAAAAAACACAAAGAAGTGATACAGATAGAAAGAAGTGCATAAAAAACATGTTTTTGTTTGATAAGAATAAGTAAGTATATGAAGACATGATTGATATTATGCATTGATATGAATAGAGAATGTAACGCCTAAATTTATTAACACGGAAAAATTCAATCATTTCTAACAAATAACGTTCTTAATAAATATCCTCCAATTAATAATTCAGTTCAACAAGGGACACTCTAATAATATAGATAACGTTAGTAGAAAAACTGTACATTAGTTCCACAATACTAGTCTTTTAATCTATTAAAAGAACATCGAAACATAGGTGAACAACTCCCATAAACGGGCCCAATATCAACATAAACAATCCTTTAGATAACTAGAAAACACACACTAAATCCAATGCAAGCTAAATTTACTCCAGGACTCTGAAATCTCTTATTCCTTGGCTCCACCTACAATTCGATTACCACGGATTGAGTAAAAAAGACAATATAGAGAGTCAGTCATTAATTTCATGCAATATATAACATGGTGGATTTAAATAGAATAATAACATTAGAACATTGCGAAAAAGAAATTATACACATCATTCCAGCACAAATACACCCATAATCCTCAATGAACCATTACTCATAACCATCAAATACATCCATGGTGTAATCAACTCCATGCTATCAAAACCAAAATCGAAAAATCCAAACCACAAGGGCAGGTCAAACCCCATACCACGAAGGCAGGTCAAATATCCATACCACGAAGGTAGGTCAAACTCCATACCACGAAGGCAGGTCAAATATCCATACCACGAAGGCAGGTCAAATATCCATACCACGAAGGTAGGTCAAACTCCATACCACGAAGGCAGGTCAAATATCCATACCACGAAGGTAGGTCAAAACTCCATACCACGAAGGCAGGTCAAATATCCATACCACGAAGGTAGGTCAAAACTCCATACCACGAAGGCAGGTCAAATATCCATACCACGAAGGCAGGTCAAATATCCATTCACATCAGTAGGACTAACGCGGTTAAATAGGAAACTCATGAGATTTCCCGTTTAATCATGTTAGCCAATTGAAATCCTCCAACTAGTGAGCGTCGTTGGAGTTTCCAATGTCATGATTCTAATACCACAAAGTTTAATGCTGCTCCCTCACCTGAGTATTCGCTAAAGCTTTACACTAAGGCTCGGTTGCGTTCTCCGCTGTCTCCTCCAACCTTAGGGACTTTCAACCCAAAACAACAATAATTACAACACATCATTTTGCATATCAAAACAATAGCAATACTCACACTTCATAAGAAAACATCATCTATTCATTTCATTTTCAGCAAAAGGGTTTCCCCAATATTTCAATGACTCTACGGTTTTGAAAACAACTTCTCACACACCCATTTCGAAAAACAACTCATACTCTACGAGTTTAACAAGGTTTTCCAAAGCAAAGCGAACCACAATGCCAAGAGAGGGTTTATGGGGTTTTATCCTTAAACATGGAGAAGAGACCCTATTCAAAATAATGACATTCAACCATAAGAGAGGCTA